GATGAGGTGAAATTAGATTTTATCATAATAACTATAATTGAGCGTGTACAGTATTTTAGTATTTGAGTGTATGTACTTTAGTCACAAATTGACAAATGTAGAAGAAAAATACCCTGCAAATGCTGCTCATTAGAAAGAAACACATCATTCCATTTGTATTATGTTATTACTTTTATTAATTATTATCAACATTATTCTTCAAGTTTAGCTGTGTCAACGTAATGTAGCAGGAATAGTTTTGCATGAGACAAAAACCTAATAATGATAAGAAAAAAACAGAATAACATACATGAGAGAAAACAGCACCTAAACATCCCAATTCTTCTATAAAAGCCATTTAACTGAATAGAAACTACTAAAATATATAGATAATGTACAAAACTGATGATTCTGGCCAACTTTAACTGGCCTCGAGCTCATCATCTCCCATTTTAATACTGAAGATCCATAACCTGTATCATTTATGATTGATGTCCCTTCTATGGCAATAAAATATACACGAGTGCAAGCAACAGCATTGTTCATCAAATTCAGACAAAAACACAAATCAAAACGTTCTCCCTCCATTGTCAATGTAAACGCAGATTGGAAATGCCATTACAAACATTGTCCATTGCATCTGCTCAAACCCCCTCCCGGACCACCTCGTAAAAAAAATGTTGGACACACATTTGAGTGGAATACAAAATATAAAATGATAATAACAAGGTAGGCTATCTTCCACTCACAAGGCAATTTGAAATTCAACTTCAAAATAAAAAAATAACACATGTATCGTATAGGCCCATTTTTCTTGTTTTGGGGCCGTCTGTAAATGTAGAAAGCATCCGCAGAGGCCGAAAGGTACAGTTCAAAGTAGTGAGTAACTTTCTGAATTCAATCCTTTTTAAATCTGATAAAACATTAAGAGTGATGGAGATTTTTTTTTTTTCTGAAAGTTCTGAATAAGCAACTCAAATGAACTTTTTTTTTTATTTGGGTGTAGATGAATTTTCTCATGAAGGGTCTGCTACCAGCTTTTAGAAGATGCGGTTTGTCTTGAATGTTCCTAGCCTGGCCTTATCCATCCGTACACTCAGGTCATTATCATTTCCTGCATGTAACGTCTGGGTCTGCTCCCTGTGTTGGCGATTACAGTCGGTTGAATTCCAGCCAACCAATCAGCGAGTGCGGGAGGCGGGTCTTGTAGTTAGATGTGGGTGACGTCAAGAGTTTGCGTCGAACGGGAAGGTTGTAGTTTGTCAATGGCAAAACTACAAAAAGTTATCCGGTCTGGTTCTATCAAGAAATTGAAGCCGGAGCAAGAGGAATGTTAAGTAAATGTAATCTCTGGCAAAAACTGTGGCGCTACTCCCCACGGCTCCGTTAGCAGCAAAGGAGATGTCTAGGCTAAATGCTAAATGCTAACGACTCACTCGGGCGCATACATACGTCACGGTAAACTCAGATCCAATCCAGATCCATTTCAATCTACAAAAGGAGTTAACCCCTCCCACCTGTTCACGGAGCTCAATGAAGCAAATCCAGACCTTAGTACGAAATGTAATTTGTACTATGGTGTGGTATGACCAGGCTAGAATGTTCCACAGTTTTGCTCTAAAATAAATGCATCTCCATGGATACAAGTAGGAAGGGCACCTGTTTAAGCATTATTACTGTGGAAAAAACAACACAAACCAGCAGCATCTCCACAGAAACAAAAGTTACACAGTGCATCTTGATTTGAAGTCCTTTTTGCAAACGTAGCCTTTGGTATGGCGCCGTCTGCACGACGCCCTAAGTCCACATACAAGTACCTTAAAACCCAACATTACAGAGAAAACAAGTAAGGCAGAACTACAGACCCGTGCAAATAACATGTGTAAACCTTTTTCTCTGAGAGCCATTGTCCTTCCCTTCATTTACAAAAGTGTTCATGCCTCCACCCGCTCTCCGTTTCTCTGTTCCTCGGATCGTTTGCTACATTTATAGACGTAAACAGATAATGAAGAGAAAAGCACTTTTAGTATTTAGAAAAAGATATGCAAAGATGAATACAGGCCCCATAAACCTGGCAAGATACTTTAAAGGACAACTCACCCTCAAATCCACTTTTTTTGCTGATAAACGGTATAAATGAGTGTCCAATAGTGTTGTCTACATATCCTGGTCATAGTTTTTTAACTTTGGTGCAAATTAGTTGAAAGTTAAACTTTCTGCCTAAAACCGTCTGTGAGGCGCCATCTGCTGGCGACCTGTATTACTACATTTGAATTTTGAATCTGGCGCCAACACTGGCACAGAAGTTGGACCTGACGTCTGCAAGTTGGACCTGACGTCAGCAGCCCCCCGCCCAGAGCAATGTAAACGGCCCAGTCTCATTCACGCCCCCTTTAGTCCTCCAGGCTACGCCCATTTAGAGGAAGATTTGAACAGGAAATGTGAGTGACGTAAGCTCCGAGGAGCGGGGGTGAGAACCACTTTAAAAAGGGTAATTTTCTTAAAGAGATTCACCATCTCTCTATTTTCTTAGAATTCTCCATTCTATGTTTGCTCAATTTTTCACCCAAAGAAAACACATGTGATGCAAATTGTGGCATATTCCAGGAAAATCAATAACCTATGAGACAATGACACAGAACCCCTCCACCAGAGAAGTTACATAGTGCATGGCTCTACAAATGGGAGGTATTTTCCACTGTGCAGTACATATTGGATTCATAATGTCATGGGTGAGCCGCCTTCAGCTCACATTTTTACATCTCAGAATCAACCAGATCTGTCATGTTTTGATGAAATCGACAAATTGGAGTCTTCCTGGTGTTTGTGTGTTTGTGACTCCCACGCACTCACTGTGACATTTACCTTTCCAGTGGTATGGGCCATGTGTAACACAACATATATGTGCATTTGTATTCATATATTCAAGCATGTATGGCTCCCACACACCACACAGAGGATTATCTACTCCTCCATCTCTTGGCCAAATAGAGCTCAAACCAATCAGGAGGTGCATGTTAAAAAATAGATAATTGTGAATATAATAAATTATAGTCCACATTTTAGTCAGGTTAATGCAAATGATCAAACAAAGTGAAAAGGTTCAGTTTAATGATTTTCTTCACCTAAAAACTATAATAGAGAAGTGTGCGAGGGCAAAAGCCAGAGCAGATGTGTTCCTGTGTTAGAAGACAAACACACTTTCTGAATCATTAAAATTGATTTTTTCCAAATTGACCCATAATAATTCTCTTCTTTCACATATTTTGGCCGTGCACCTGTAGAATAAAATAGGATTGGCTTTGGATTGGGTTAAAATATAAATCTTTTTGCGGGGGAAAAAAACTTAAGGCATGTCAATCAAGTATCAGAGCAATACATAAAATACTGTAGCAGACTTTTCTTTTACATGACGAATGACAAACAATGAACATGTTTACAGGCACAGCCGAGAATACTTAGCTTTCCAAGATTCTTTTCAATTCCCCTAATATCAATTTACTTCAAAGGAGTCTGCTTTTAGCAACCAAGGCAACAAGGCAAGGGGAAATAAAAGGGGAAAAAACCTGCCAAAAATATATTTCAACAATACATTCAATGAGTTATTACATGAGAACTTTTGGTTAATCAGAAATGTGTGAAAACCACTGGGCATTAATGAGATCAAAGATGATAAACTGTACTGCTTTTTGTTGTTTCCCTTCACTTTCTTTAGTTTGTAATTATCAAAGTGGATGAACAAACTTTACTGGATCTTGTAGAAATTACTGAGAAAACCAAATGATCTAATCGTTGTTGCAAATGAGCAGAGTAACAACACATCGGTGCTGGAGAAATAGTTTGCAGTGGTGATCTCTGCAGGGGCCAGTCTCGGTGAAGTGCATAATTCTGGGTCTGGGTTTTAATACCCTGCTCTCTCTCTCTCTTTCTCTTTCCCTCTCTGTAAAATACCATTAGTTCAGAATATATGTATGTAACAGATAAAATTGCATTGGAACAGGTGCAACATGAACGACCCCTGAGGACTGACCTTCATTTACGCTTACATCGTCATTAGGGGACGGACGAGTGCCGCGAATATATTTTCAAAACACGCAGAAAACTCTTTTTTTTAAGCTGTACCGTTTTTGTTCAACTGCTGCTCGACAAACAATAAAAAAAGGCGTATTCAAAAGTACCATCTCAAGCATTTACAAAATAGCACAAATATAAGAAAATGTTGCAAGTATGTACTAAAATCCATATTATTATTTTTGTTGTAAATATTAATATAGTTGTTAAGCAGGTTAATAGTTTGTTCTAATAGGCAGGCGGCCAGGCACATTGCTTTCATGGCACAGCGGAAGGTAGAAAAGACGTCTCTTGGTTCCTTCAAAGTTGAAAACACTTTGAAACCTCATACAAATGACTTATTGTTCAATACTTCTTTAGCCACTTTGCACAATGGCACTTTGCATTGAGAGAGTGCGGCCATTTATCAGCAAACGACAGCGTATCAGGGCAGTTCAGTATGGTTTCAACGTAACCATTTGCAGATATAGTTTTGGTATCTGGATTCATTCACCCAGCCATTACTTTCTCACCAAATCAGATAGGAGTACCAAGATAAATAAAAATGCAACAGGCTGGTTTGGATAAGCATACCCCCCTCCCCAATTGGATCTGGGTTACCACAAGGCAAAACAAATGAGTTTTTATGTTGGAAAATGGCTCGTTTGTCGGTGATTTCAGCTGCTTGCCCGTTGTCCCGAAACGTCAAGTAGCAACTGTCATTCAAACTCTAGATTATTCAGGATTCAGGATATGTCTCTTGACGGTCCGTGCAGCGCTTTATCCCGATTCCTCAATGATTTTTGACCATTTGACAGGCAAGCGCTTCCAGCATAAGGATATGTTCAGTATAGTCCCCAAGATACAGGCCATCTCTGACATGTGCTAGCCTCAGACAACGTGAGGTTACAGCTTATACTTCTAAATTAAAAGGCAATTTACTTAAGTCTTAGGCCACTTAATCAAAAAGGTTAAATACTTTCCAAGTTCTTGTCACCCTTTTTAGACTTGCTAATTGCGACAGTTGGAGACGTGGCAACAGAATCCGCACCCGTCTCGCTACCTTGCTCCTCCCCGCCTTTCTGATCTTGCTTGTCCTCCACCTCACTTCCCATACTTTCCTCTTCCGGCTCGTCCTCAACGTTAGCGTCTTTTATCGGATCCTCGCTTTTCTCCTCTATGTCTGCGCTTTCTGAACTCACAGTGTTTTCGGGTTTCGGCTGCGGCGTCTTGTCGGAGTGTAGCCCTCTTTGAATGTGCATGGTGAAGTCGTACTTGTCCGTGCAGACGTGAAGGCAAAACCCGCACTGGTATGGCGCCTGGTCACCGTGACAACTCATGTGCAAGGCGTACATGACCTCATCCAGAAAGTAGATCCCGCAATGCGCGCACCGGTGGGTCAAGTCGTCTTGGGTGGACACTTCGACGGTTGCGCTTTTGACGGACGCATCTAGCTGAGTATTTAGTATTTCTTGCTCTTTCTCATAGACTGTATCTACTTCCATCTTTGATTCGTCTTCTTTCCAGTCATGGTCAACTAAGGGGGATTTGGTGTTTCTTTGCTTTATTGCGAGATCTAAAGGCGCTTCGTTCTCCAAGGATGCAGATGACGCTTGCGGTTGGATGGGTGGGGGAGGGTAGTGTGGGGTTGCTGGTGGAGGAGGTAGCGGAGAGTATGGCGAGGCACAGTAAGGCACCGTGTAGCTTTGCTGATGATGCTGCTGCACAGAACTAACCATCCCTAGATAACTGTTTCCAAGGCTAGTCGTGCTGCTGATGCCGCCAGCGACACCAGACGTGGCAGCCATTTTGTATTTGGTCCAGAATCGAAGCCAGTCGGACTCGGGAGCCAAATCCGGGGATATGGTAAGAGGAAGCGGCAAAGAGAACAAGGGATACTGATACTTCTCAATCGGCGAACCGGGAGGCGAGTAGCTAGATGCTTTGGATGGCCGCATGTATTTTTCGATTGGGCTTCCTCTTTCTGAACCGCCCTTTCCTCCTTCCATTTTGGAGATTAATCCGGATTCAGGATGAACACCATTGCCCTCGAGCGGTGATGAATGTGACGGCAGAAGAAGAGGAGGCATCCGTCGGTGGATCTCCAGGGTTTGATTGGCGAGGAAAGCTTGTGTAGAACGCGGCGAGCGAGAGCGCGGTGAAGGCTGCTGGCTCTTCAGGGAGTTTCGGTAAGTTTCTTCCCCGTTGACGCGCTCCTCGTTTGGCACCTGTTGACGTTTGGGGGCAGGGTTTTCAGAAGGCAGCGTATCGGGGTTGATGCGTTTGCGAGTGCGACGGCGAATGATCTGTTCGCCGTTGTTCTGCTTGATGATGTTCAGAGGTCTCGGGGTCTGGAACACAAGAAGAACAAACAATAAATCCATGAGAAGACAAGATGGGAAACTCATTCTGTGTCTTACTAAAAAAAAATTATGATAAAACTGATAATGATAATATATTAAAATATGAGTAAGAAATGTAAATATGAGGGGGCGACAGTAGCTCAGTTGGTAGAGCATTGGTCTTTGGACCTAATGGTCGTGGATTCGAGCCCACCACGGCTCGATCCCTGGGCAAGACACTTAACCCCACATTGCCCGAAGTCCCCACTGAAAGACCAAGGCCATCTAATGACGGAGAAGCCCTCTTACCGTGGACCCACCCCCTGCAGGAGGATCAGTGAGGGACTGGTGCTATGAGACCCTAACCCTGGCCCAGAAATTGATTAATAAAGGGGTAGAAAATGACATGACATGACATGACATGATAGTATGATAATATACACTTAAGTACTTTTTAATTATACATTATTTATCTAAAAGTGACTTTCAAAACACCAAAGTACAAACATGGTTAAAAACTGCAATTTGTTTTTAAATTCCACCCTGTTTTTAACCATGTTTGTACAGTGTCCTTGGGTGTTTTGAAAGGCACTTTTAAATAAAATGTAGTATTATTATTGTTACATTGTCATCCACAAAAGATTAAGATTAAGAGAGTCTTTATCCCACAGTAGGATAGGACAGTAGGAGTGAGGAGTATAAAACACAAGATGCATTAATTTTAAGTATAGCACAATAAAAACAAAATAAAATCAATATAATCTTTAGCTTAATATAGAAGCAAATCATAAACCTTTATACTCAAGTGCAAGAAATATCTATATATGCATTTACAGCTAAATCATTAAAACGTACATTGTTCTAAGTCATCTTACAATTGAACTGCGTTTGAAAATAAGCCTAAACCTCTTGTTATTCAGGATTAAGCGTCTCAGCGCATGGTTAAATTGGATATTGGAGTGCTTTCTTGTTCTGGGTTGGTCAGCAGCCTCTCTCTGTACATTCATTGTTATGACCCATTGCTCAGCCTCTAGCCCCGGTTCTGCCTAATTTATTTTCTTTGACAGTAAATTTATGTAGCCATTAAACAGAATAAAGGGTGACCGACAAAAATACTTTTCAAACTTTTTATCCCTTCACTTATTTACAAGGAAAGTGGGCATAGAATGAAGGAGCTTGTTGATAGAAGACTGGTAAATTGGTAAGATCCGAATGCGTTCTGCACACACAAAGCAGATACACACATACTAGTTTCAGATGCAGTTTCTACCCTTATCACAAGGGGGAGCTACCACACCTGAGGACAATATAGCTTATAAGGACTGCAAAATGTGGTATTTTTCAGGCCCAAGATGCTCATAACGTTCTTTTTAAACACATTTTCTCGCCTATAGGATATTTCTGGAAATGACATGCAAGCAGGGGAAGGTGCGCTTATAGAAATGTATGCATGGGAAAAGCCCCTGTCATGCCTCATGTGGGCTGCATCAATCACAGAGCGACCGGTGCTGAGGAGGGAGGAGAAACGCTGTCCAACATGCTGACAGTCACGATTCTACAAGCTACACACACTTTCACTTTTAGAATGTGTTTCTGTAAAAGAAAATAGTATATAACATGTTGAAAATAAGATAAGATAAGATGAAATGAAGACAGATAGATCACTCAGGTTGTGCTAAAAGTGACTTACATGTGCTAGAAGTTGATCGCATTAAAAAGATTAAGGGTTAATAGTAAAATAAATTACAGTCTTCCTGAAAATGTGAGACAGGCTTCTACTCTGACAATGCTCAAGTCCAGTTCTTTTTCTGTGCAAACAACTGAAGGATTGAATCTTTTTAATTTACTGTGAATATCTATGATTTGAGTACCTTGTATAATTGTAATATTTATTTTCTTGTGTTATTATTAAGCACTTTGCATTACCTTGTGTTTGAACTGTGCTATTCAAATACACTTGCCTTGCCTTTATAGTTAGCCAGAGGTAAAAGGAGGTTTTTATAACGGGTTAGGAGTTACAAAAAGATATGAGACTTAAACAATTTGAGTACCATTGGTTTATGATCATGTTCATTATTGTGTGTTGTCCCGATCATTTAAATAAATAAATACATAAATACGGCTATTTTGTTTGGAGCTATGTATTTATTTGCCATATGGACTATGATCCCCTTTAACCCATCTTAAAGAAGACATAATTATCAGTTACCTAATGTAACTGTAGTTCTACGAATAGGTGCGTAGCGTTGCTATCGTTGACACCGGAAGCTAAACATTATACAATTAGAAGAATTTCAAATCTCAATAATGATCTAAAACAATTGGGGGTATTTGCATGTTGCTATTTTACACAAATTCTCTGTTGCCCATTCAGAGGGAGAAATATAGTACAACAATTCAAGATTTAAGAATGTATTTAACAAACAATATTGGAAAAATAACATGAATGACTCCCACATGCATAAATCGCTCTAAATTTGAGTGCGCTAGTGGAAAGGGGAAAAAAAACCATGGCTGATTTTGCACAGTATGTCCCCTTTAACTTTTTAAATAAAACTGCTGTAGTGTCACTCAACTTACAGATGCATGGAGTTATTAAATCTGCCTAGCATGTACGACATAAAGTGGAGAAGTCCCATGATTCACAGTGTGTCGGCCTTTGCTGTGGGGCATAGATGGAACGTGTGATCTGAGAAGCTGCAGCCCATAACTCCTCTATCTATACTTGCCTCCATCTCGCGCCTGCCTTCTCCCACCCTCTTAACCTTTTGTAACACACCCCAATCATTAGCCTTTTTCTCTTCTTTAATCTGCAGTGCTGTTTTGTCTTCCCGCTTGCCTCTGCCTGCCTCCTTATCCATAATTCCCTGCTCGTGCGCTCTCGGTCTCAAGTGTTTTACTAGCTGCTATCCTCTCTAATAATGTGTATAGAGCGTATAAAACTTTTATTATGGGATATAAAATATGGTTGTCGTGAAGATTGCCAAGAGTGGAAGAAGTAGTGGTGGTGGTGGACGTGATTGGAGGAACAGATGAGATGAACAGGTTGGACCAAGGACAAGGGCAGGGGCAGGGTTGGGGTAAAATTGTGACAGCGAGTGCCCTAAAAGGTCTTTAAAGATCCATTTGGAAATTGCTTTGGGCGTCAATTTGGTCTGAAATGTATTGCGACATTTTACAAGCTGTATATTCAAATAGTTAATATTGGATTGTGGCGCAAAAGGGATTTGTGTTAACATTGGTTACATGTGTAAACTATTCAGCAAATTAGCAAGCACGTCAGAGTGTGAAATTATCTTAGACCTCTTTAAAACATATCAAAGGTGAGCAATCTTGATATGCCTTAAGTCGACTCAATTCACCAGCGATTTTTATCTCATCTGTAATTCATGCGGTTTTAATTAAATTTGGAATTTCCATAGACTTTCCTCCTCCGGCTTTAGATGGTAAAGTAGATTCATTCCATCACATTTCTCACTCCATGGATCTGCACGCACCAAATCAAATATACTCTTTCCACAATATTACGGCGCACAGTGGGACCGGGAATATATGAGGACTTTAGCCACAGTACGCACGGTTTAATGTTTTGCCGTATGTTAATGTGAGTGAAAGACAGTAGGGGTGATGTTAAAAGATGTGTAAGGGCGAAAGTGTCGTTGAAGAGCAAACGAATCGTAAAGAGCCATGCCTTAGGAAATGGATAAGTGCCACCACAATCTACGCTAGTATGAGATATTCACACCTAACTCGGGAAAACTATCTTAAAGTTTACACATGATGCTATAACTAAACATTATCTATTCAAATTTTTAACTCGACGGTCGATTAGTGAAAACGATTTACCGTATTTTTCAGATTATAAATTTCAGTTTTTGTCATAGTTTGGCCGGGGGTGAGACTCTGGAGTGACTTTTGTGTGAAAATATGACATTTTCAAATTATATATTTTATTTACCGTAAAATATCAAATAATAGCCCGGGCTATTAAGTTGAGCAATTAAGCTATTAAGAAGATCCTAAAGAATGAAGACATATACCACTGCTGAATACCATTGTGATATTTAGGACTATAGCTTTTGTTGTGTCGTAGAAAGACTATTTTTTCGTATTACCCACATTTTTGCTCCTACTTTGCATCAAAACGCATCTCACAGATAATTGACAGTGAAATTGACTCGAGGTGAAATGTCTATTTAATAAATGTCAATTATTAAAGTAAAAAAATATCGGGTTCCATGTGTCTTACCGAATGCAGTTTCTGGTACAGTCCACATGCGTTGCACACATAGCCACCGTTCGCATTCTTCCTCCAAAGTGACGTCTTGGTGGTCAAACAGTTAGCGCAGAATACCCCACTTCCTCTCCGGCGCTAAAAAAACACACACACACACACACAAAATCATGAAACAAGCTGAGCTATAGACCTTTTTAGTTACATTTTCTCATCACCGACGAACAATGATTTGAGGTGAGGACACAGGCAGGAGAACAGATTGGCTCTCTGACAGAAAGATGATGTCCGCTCATTTATCATGCCTAATTGGGGGCTGAATTGAGAGCATGGTTTTAATCTGTTCTGTCTTCACTGTACGAACCAAGGTTAATAAAAACACCAAATATACTTAGACCAAAAGAACACGATGGCGCTGAAAGTGGTGTGTGTGATCCGAATGGTTAAGCGTATGGGGACTCCACCAAGAGAAACTCGGGCAATTTTGTCAAGTATTCTCTACAAAATTGGAGAGAGATGTTTTCACCTTGCAATATAAAAGGTTGTGGTGTTTATTGAGGGGTGAGGATCAAAAGGGAATGAGTGGGTGAAATATCGAGGTAAGGTTTAAATGGAGTACTTGTGAAGCCGGAACTTCAAAATTGTATTACAATTTGAGGGTTTGGAATTGAACTGATAAAAACTGGTGATGTGATTCTTTGATGTTAAGACTTAATGTGACTTTCCCTGCGTGTCCTACCGAAGGAATTTCCCAAAAATCTAGAAGCTAGGTATGTTTAACGCTAACCAGATAAATATAGATACACAATAGTGCAAAAAGTGAAGAAAAATAAGTCAAAAAGTGCTAGAATTTGGCAAAATGTATATAAATTTGAGCATATTTTGATTATGTTATAAAAATACCAATGGACACGCAAACTTATCTTGTTTTACAAAGATACAAGAAATGTATCCCTTTGAATGAGAAAATAATAAATTGCTTGTCCCATTGGCAAATCTTTTTTTAAGACAGCCAGAATGTGCTGAAATTAAGATGAAAACCACCTTAGTCAAGCATTCATCACCTCATATTTTATCAGTTTTTTCCGTGTCGGAAAAAAGCCCTACGGCATCAAGGAAAGTTCCATTATTTAAAAAGAAAAGCCCTGAATCCAAACAGTGATCCGGCTCACCTCCAAAATCTACCAGTAATCATTGGTTCCTTGTTGCATTTTCGAGATTTAATGACTATTTCTTGAAGGTGTATCGGAGGATTTTCTACTTCCGGGTGGATCATCAAGACTATTGGTCCTCCCAGTTGTCAATCATTCTGGTGATATGTGCACAAATAAGATCAGAGAGTTTTGTTCAAAAAGTGGAGAGGACGGCTCTTTCCTAAAATTTGGAAAAATCAAGCCATACTTTCCGTGGACTACAACCCTTGACAAAAATATAGCCCACTGGTAACCTATTCCAGTAGTTATGGTCTGTTTATGTCTGAAACTCTCCGACTGGAATCATAAAACATCACCTAAACCGGCAACATAAAGTATGATGACCAATGTTTGTTCTTTCCTTTTCCTGAGAAGCCAGAAGTTGCGTTCAAAAACTTGTGGGGAATAAAACGGTTTACTTCTTCCACCCATCGCAGAGTACTGTTCAATACAAACCCACGCAGCCGCACACTACACCGGCTCTTACCCAACTCATGCAAATGGAGGGGCTGGTTTTAGGTGCAAAAGGCCAATTGTGATGGCAACGTGCTCCATCACGGTAATGAGCCAATCACAACATTTCTCCATCCCATTAAGTCTGTGGCCCCTTCCGACACCTTTTTCGACCCTGAGAGGACACCGCACCTCATCGTTCCCATTATCGCCATCAGCGCGGAGCATGTATTGCAATCACTGGAGTTTGTTTGTTTGGCTTGTTTTTGCTGTGAATGGAATTACGCACGAGCCTTCTGCAGATTTTGTGAAACTCGGGAGAAGAGGTTAACTGTTTGTGGCCTCGCTGGAGCTGCTGTACGTGTCGGGTCGCTGGGGCATTGTGCTGCGATGCTGACACAAGTAAACAAGACTATTATGACCATTTTTTCTACATTTACAGATTGTTACTACAAGGCAAGCACATCAACCTCAAATCAACTAACTGCATGACATCTTTCACTAGCATACAGCGCTTTTGTTAAAAAATCCCTAACACTAGGACTAGGATTTTAATTTTGGAAGTGTAATTACTCAGCATTACATTAACATGATGCCTTGATTGTATAATATCACTAATAAATTCAACATATTTACATGGTTTTACAGTATTACAGTAAACTTTTCCATCCGGATTGGGTGGCTGAGTGGATAGCATTCATAGTAAGAAGGTCCTGGGTTCGAACCGCGGTCGGAACAGGGCCTTTCTGAGAGGAGTATGCATGTTCTCCCGTGTCTGTGTAGGTTTCCTCCGGGTGCTCCACTAAAAACATGTACAATAGCTATGAATGTAATGAGTAAGTGAATTAACCGTGTTTGGTCGGAGGCTTTGACCAAACACCGTATGTGGAGAGAATGGAAACTATCTGAACTCTGAACAATTGTAAAGCTCTTCGGGTGACCTTGGTCTATAAAATGCGCTATATAAACAAACATGACTTACTTACATTGGAGACATGCAAGAAACTTCACTAGGCTTTCGTACAATTATTTGAATACATGCAAGTAGACCCAAGAATTCAGATTCCAAACCATAATTCATAACTTTCAAGCATATCGAGGAACAATCAAAGAAAAGAAAGAACATCGCCATGACAACAGGCAGCAGGCCCCATCTGAAAAAAGTGTACAATATTCTTTCATTAATATTCATCCCCTTAATCCGTAATCTGTATGTGCTGCTCAGTAAACTTTGGTATAATGTGATTTGTGGATTTACCCAGTATGGAATTGTTGTCTTGTTGTTTGTCCTGTATTGTTTGAGTGAGGGGGGGGTTGGATAAATATACACGTTTTGCTTCCTCCAACCCCTTTTCAATCCCTGTACGTGCTTTTGTTTTGTTTCCTGTGCATGTTTTGAAATGAATATTTAATTTATTCATTAATTCATTTCTGGGTCTGGGGGTGGGGCGCTTCCAGCCAATTATAGTACCACTCATAGTCAAAGCTCTGATCCTCCTGCAGGTGAGGACTACAATCTCCAAGCTTCTTTCTACAAGCTGCTATCAGTCTAAAAAGAGCACTTTAAATGATCTTATTTCTGTACTTTTAAGCTTCTTTTAAATATGTACTTGTCTTGTGCACACTGGGGACTTTTGCATTTGCTTTCTTACTCCAATGTGGTTTTACTGCAAATGGCAAATAAATGAATCTGAATCTAAATCTCTAATATGAATACCATACAAGTGCAATTTATCAAGCCCCGGCGATCCAAAATGGCGCCGTATTCAAATGAATGGTTCGTGCTCGGTGGCGCATTGTGCCGGCATGGGCGCTGAAAGATCAGCGGATGTTGCCTGGAACTCGCAAAGATCCATGGGAAACTCGTCTGGTCCTCTCGGTTCTGCACAGTGGATTATCTCCCATGATGCATTGCGTCAAATACGCCTGTGTGGCTCTCATGCACGTGCACAGAGGGACACGGCCGCACTCTGACCAATCAGAACTGCTGATCAGAACGGGAGTTAGAGCGGGAGCCAGACGAGCAGAGTTTGTGGCACTAAAGTGTGGATTTAAAGAAAACCGAAGGATTTAAGAAGAAAAAGGTTCTCTGTCAGGTTCTCTGTCAGCTGAGGTCGAGCTGTTTTAGTTTACATTGAGTTCTATGGGGAACATTTCTGGGTAGCCCACGTGAATTTAGTCTGGTCTAGTCTGCAGAACCGCGAGAATCTCCCAAGCACATGGTTGTTCAGCTCCAAGCTAGTAATACCCTATCCAGTTATTATAATAGATCCATGCAATATATTGACTACGGCAGTTTTCCTATGTCCTGCTGTCCAAAGAAAGTTTCTCATGACTTTCTTGTTCTGGGAATGTTGCTGAAGGTGGGCCTCTGTGTATGAACCGCTGACATGTTGCTGACTCAGGCCTTTATTCCTCAGCATCACTTTGATCCGCTGCAGGATAAGTGACACTTTTTTTTTACAAGCGGTCCTGTTTCACAAATCACCAAGTACCGAAATATCTGATGGAAATGGAGCAGACTCTGGATATATAGGTCACACCGACTCCGACATCTCACTGCTGTTCTGTCGCTCTTGGCTCAGATTTCATGCGTTGAGACAATCAGCTGATGTAGGAAAGCAAATATATACGAAAAGAAATGCATACCGGAGTGTCCGTATGTGGTTCTACTTTCTCGATTAGTGGGAGAGAAAACATAACAACGAGTGCAATGTATGTGATATGTGACAATTACTGACAAACTGTATATCCACGCTTGTAACTTTTGTATTCACCCTTTCTTTAAACTAGAAAAATCCCACTTAGATTCAAAGACCAAGGGCGTCCTGGCCAAGAAGCATTCACACCATAACCCTTAAAAATTGGATTTAATGTTACTTTATAAACATGAAAGGGTTATGTTTATTACATTTCAAATTATGAATATACTAGCATCTAAACGACTGGCCTTTGAGTTCAGGGATACGTAAACACAAAATATGCATATTGGAAAAAACTCAACAGTTATTACCCATTAAGACCATTCAATCACTGTATAAGCTTCCGCACACAAAAATACAGGACAAAAACTACCATTCAGGATTTCAATTAGATTAATTCTGATGTTGCTTCATAATTAAGAGACATCAATGAGTCATATGCACATGCTGAAAGGTTTTATTTTAATGTTTTATCACTGCTGCAATCACTGGAGTTTGTTTGTTTTGCTGTGAATGGCATAATGTTAGAGCCTTCTGCAGATTTGAAGAAACTGGGGAGAAGAGGTTAAATGTTTGTGGCCTTGGTGTAGCTACGGTACGTGTCAGGGTGCTGGGGCATTATTCAACAGAACCCTATTATAATTATTTTTTAAAACCAGTGGTCAAACTCAAAACAACATAGAGGACTAGAAGCTTCAACTTTTTTCACGTTCTTTAAACCCTGTGGCCTAAATAGTGTCGCGATGCAGCCAATATGTATTTTTTGTTCTATTAGGACACCTCTCAGGGGCGCAGGAGGGAATTTCGCTCTATCAGGTGTTGATCTCCAGAGCTGACGTCGGAGAACACATTCCTGCTTCTCAGTCTGTTTATGTGAACAGCAGAAAGAATGCCAATGATGACTACAAGGAAATACACTTGTTTTTATGGGATTAGGGCTATTGTCAGAACAGATAATGGACTTATTATTATTGTAGGAATGTTATTGACAAAATAGATTGGATTTACCAGAGAACTTTGATCCTCATGAGTCAACAGTGCATAAAAACACCTCATCATTACATCAGTGTCCAGTTAAAAAAGTCAATCGGCTTTTGTTGTGCTCCATCCGCTGTAGGTTAAGTTTTGCATTACAACGTGAAAACCTGTGGCTTCTAAGTGTAGCCTACATGTGGATAAAATGTACTTTATTTTCAAATTCAGCTGACGCGGTTTAGACACAGGTGCGATTAAACGTCCAGGAAGATACTGTATTTCAAAGACAATATACTACACCAGGGGTGCTCAATACGTCGATCGCGATCGACCAGTCGATCGCAAAGGTAGTATTGGTAGATCGCATTAAATAAATAAAAAATTACACATTCTAAACGAATATATACAAAAAACTCCGGGCAAAGTGGAGATTTTTGAAAACTCCGTTAATGCATTTGTGTGTAGACAGAGATAACCAGAGTTTTGCGTTCTCGCACGCCACAGTACCCCCCTAAATTCCTCTGATCACTGAAGCATGGATCATACTACCTTAAAAACTGTTCGCTGTGAGATGCTCGCAGCAGCAAACATCCTCGCTCCACATCAGAGAGCAGCAAAGTGATCGCGGGGACTCACGCTCGAAAACAACTAAACCAGGACTAAACCAGGACTAAACCAGGGTAAACCAGGGCTAAACCAGGGCTGAGGACGGGGTCAGTGCTTGTAAACATACGTCTTTACTCTGAGTGTCTTCTATGACTGTAAAAGTGCCGTTACCGGCGTCTGCATCAAAGCTCCGCCCACTTCCGTGTTTTTCCCCAACGCAGGACAGGACTTAAGAGACGCACATGTTTGGAATGTTACAAATGTGATTGATAACGCAGATGTGTGGATGCAAATTATTTTATAAACTGAGGAGGGGAAATATTTGGATTTAAAAAAAAACAGGCATGGCACATGGACATGGCACCACAGTCAAATGACATCTGTGTTTTACTCAGTAATGTTTTACTGACACTGTTGTTTTACTGACACTGACGCGGTTGTTTGCACATGCGCAAACAACCGCGCCTCAGTGCAGGAAAGCTAAACCACGACAAACTTGTCAACGAGTTGCCACCAATTTTCCGGACTATGCATCCCTGGCCGATTCAATTCAGTCATAAGAGTAAACTCGGGTAATGACAAAAAATTTACATAGGTAATTGTGTTGTGTTGTGCTATATTGGCTCATGCGGTTTTGCATGTACATAAACATACATTGTAGGTATAAAGAATATTTTTTGAAATAAATATATGATTTGCATTTTTGTAGTAGGTAGATCATTCACTTGATCCTTTTATAAGTAGCTCGCATGCTGAAAAAGTGTGAGCACCCCTGTACTACACTGTAAGAGTATCGTAGAAATGCCTGAGACCTTATTACTGGATCATCATCATCATCATTCCAACATGGGGATAGTATACTGTAATACGGCTAAGTAATACAGTAGTAGTTGATTGTAAGTAGTAATTACAATCAAATCAAAATCACATTGCAGTCACAATATT